TACCCGGTACATCACCTGTCAATGTACCTGTTTACCCGTACAGTCGGTACAGCACCTGTCAATGTACCTGTAAGTCGGTACAGCACCTGTCAATGTACCTGTACAGTCGGTACATCACCTGTCAATGTACCTGTACAGTCGATACATCACCTGTCAGTGTACCTGTACAGTCGGTACAGCACCTGTCAATGTACCTGTACAGTCGGTACATCACCTGTCAATGTACCTGTGCAGTCGGTACATCACTTGTCAATGTACCTGTACAGTCGATACATCACCTATCTATGTACCTCTTTACCCGGTACATCACCTAGCTGAACATTCGGTACATCACCTGTCAATGTACCTGTACAGTCGGTACATCACCTGCCAATGTACTTGTACAGTCGGTACAGCACCTGCCAATGTACCTGTACAGTGGATACAGCACCTGTCAATATCCCTGTTTACCCGGTACATCCCCTAGCTGAACATTCGGTACATAACCTGTCAATGTACCTGAACAGTCGGTACATCACCTATCAATGTACCTGTTTACCCGATACATCACCTGGCAATGTACCTGTTTACCCGATACATCACCTGGCAATGTACCTGTTTACCCGGTACATCCCCTGTCAATATACCTGTATAGTCGTTACAGCACCTGTCAATGTACCTGTACAGTCGGTACATCACCTGTCAATATACCTGTATAGTCGGTACAGCACCTGTCAATGTACCTGTACAGTCGATACAGCACCTGTCAATATACCTGTTTACCCGGTACATCACCTGTCAATGTACCTGTTTACCCGGTACATCCCCTGTCAATGTACTTGTACAGTCGGTACAGCACCTGTCAATGTACCCGTACAGTCGATACAGCACCTGTCAATGTATCTGTTTACCCTGTACATCACCTGTCAATGTACCTGTATAGTCGGTACATCACCTGTCAATGTACCTGTACAGTCGATACAGCACCTGTCAATGTATCTGTTTACCCGGTACATCACCTGTCAATGTACCTGTTTACCCGGTACATCACCTGTCAATGTACCTGTATAGTCGGTACATCACCTGTCAGCTTTATTGTTAGCGTGTTAACTCTCTGTAATAATCAGTGGAAGTTTTACCACGTCTATGTCTTTAAGTAACCACCAGCAGGATTATAAGAGAAAACTTGTCAGAGTTTTGTGACCCCCTACCCAAAACGCTTCGTTTCACATTTTCCTCTTATCCCAGTATCATTAATATTTCCATAAATGCCAACAAAAAGCGGTCCAATACTTACATTCACATTATATCTGTTTCAAGACAATGATTGAATTTTCTGCTGCAAGTGAATATTTTTTACTTCTAAAACATATTTTGAAGGTTCAACTGACGGAACAGCCCGGAAAATATAATATTATATCTAACCAAGTAGCCTGTAGATAACGATATGGCTTTGTTTACTAACCAGTGTGGTTATCATAATTCTAAATTATTAATATCTCAACTTCAAAACAGCGTTTTTAGTCCTGCTACCTGGTACATCTACAAAACCTTCACCTAAAGCCCCACACAAACAGCGTTTTAGTCCGGCTACCTGGTACATCTAGAAAACCTTCACCTAAAGCTCCACTCAAACAGCGTTTTAGTCCTGCTACATGGTACATGTACAAAACCTTCACCTAAACCTCCACACAAACAGCGTTTTAGTCCTGCTCCCTGGTACATCTACAAAACCTTCACATAACGATCCACACAAAAAGCGTTTTAGTCCTGCTACCTGGTACATCTACAAAACCTTCACATAAAGATCCACACAAAAAGCGTTTTAGTCCTGATACCTGGTACATCTACAAAACCTTCACCTAAAGCTCCACACAAACAGCGTTTTAGTCCTGCTACCTAGTACATGTACAAAACCTTCACCTAAAGCTCCACACAAACAGCGTTTTAGTCCTGCTACCTGGTACATGTACAAAACCTTCACCTAAAGCTCCACACAAACAGCTTTTTAGTCCTGCTACCTGGTACATGTACAAAACCTTCACCTAAAGCTCCACACAAACAGCGTTTTAGTCCGGCTACCTGGTACATGTAGAAAACCTTCACCTAAAGCTCCACACAAACAGCGTTTTAGTCCTGCTACCTGGTACATGTACAAAACCTTCACCTAAAGCTCCACACAAACAGCGTTTTAGTACCCCTGTGATTTAACCATTGACAACACCTTAACCAAAACAGCATCTTAATTGTTTGGGTGTAAAACTATGCACCAAATGCATAAACAAAACGTTTAACCTAAAATGTCAAAAAAGACAGCGTCTTAGTTCCTCTGTTGTTAATCCCTAAACCTGGTATATAAATAAAACCCACTCCAAAATCGTGTCTTAGTCCCTCTGTTGTTAATCCCTAAACCTGGTATATAATTAAAACCCACTCCTAAATCGTGTCTTAGTCCCTTTGTTGTTAATCCCTAAACCTGGTATATAATTAAAACCCACTCCAAAATCGTGTCTTAGTCCCTCTGTTGTTAATCCCTAAACCTGGTATATAATTAAAACCCACTCCTAAATCGTGTCTTAGTCCCTTTGTTGTTAATCCCTAAACCTGGTATATAATTAAAACCCACTCCAAAATCGTGTCTTAGTCCCTCTGTTGTTAATCCCTAAACCTGGTATATAATTAAAACCCAACGAACAGCACCTTAGTCCCTCGATACAGAAATCTCCGACACCCCAAACGAACAACACCTCAGTCCCCCAATACAGAAATCTCCAACACCCCAAACGAACAGCACCTTAGTCCCTCAATACAGAAATCTCCAACACCACAAACGAACAGCACCTCAGTCCCTCGACACAGAAATCTCCAACACCCCAAACGAACAGCACCTTAGTCCATCGACACAGAAATCTCCAACACCCCAAATGAACAGCACCTTAGTCCCTCAACACAGAAATCTCCAACACCCAAAACGAACAGCGCCTTAGTCCCTCAATACAGAAATCTCCAACACCCCAAACGAACAGTACCTTAGTCCATCAATACAGAAATCTCCAACACCCCAAACGAACAGCACCTTAGTCCCTCGTCACAGAAATCTCCAACACCCCAAACGAACAGCACCTTAGTCTCTAGATACAGAAATCTTCAACACTCCAAACGAACAGCACCTTACTTTTTTCGGATTTAAACTTTGCTCAAGGTCCATCACCAAAATCTTTAACCCAAAGTCCTTAACGAACAGTGCCTTGGTTCTTCGTTATTAAACAATGTACCAGGTACGTCATGAGAAATTTAACCTTTACCTCAACAATCAACATATCATACCATCAGGGGTTAGACCAAGTGTCATGTTAATCACCAAACGTTCTATTCTGTCTACTTTTTGTCTGCAATAAGTTACTGGCTTTCGTGTTTTACATCAACATATATTGAGCTACAGTTAGTTAGGCACGTTGACATGATACTAGGATCATATCACTGCTCTGCTTTCTCGTCATTCAAGAAGTAGTGACGTGTACGTACAGGCAAAGGTGAATCGTCTATCAGCCCTCTCAAACAGAATGTAATTATCGAAGCACTTAGGTTCGGAACGGTGTTGTAGGTATGCTGTACGACGTAGGAAGGTGGTGTACGCGTGGGTGAAAGTGTTTCTCCCTCACAGAGCCCCCTCCCACATAGCCAGAACTCAGGAGTTGGGCAATTATCAGTAGACGGGCATTCCATCATAACCTGCTGCTGTGTACTCAAAATAAACATCAGGCAGGAATGTTTCCCTCGCGTGCATGTCTGTTGTGTGTGGACCAGGACTATGGTATACCGGTGCCTACACTGTACCGTACACTGAACACTGTTATAACATTACCGCCTTTCAGTATATAAATGTTCAAATGTATTTAGTATATGGTTATATATAGAGTCGTTTACTTACAGCAAAATATATCATTACTGAATGCACCGAACAATAGCTGAAGAACATATAAGTATAAACGTGTTCATTTGCTAGCAGATTTAATCTGAATGATTTAAAGCTAAGAGTGATTCGCGTAGTTGCAATCTGAAAAAGGGAATGCTTGTTAGAACATGATTTCAAAACAGCACAACACTATCATTTAAAGGAATTGATAGCTGATTGGTTTTGGTCGTTTCAGTAAATTAACCATATATTTCAAACCTATAACTACATTTCAATATTTCGAATATCTATGACGCTATATCAAAACATGACATATACGAGATTTGAAATAATTGGACATTGTATAGAATATTCGTACCTATCGCCCAACACACGAAACGGCTTGGTTTGTACGCATATATAATAATCGGTTGCCATGGCGACAGTGTTCATAATAGAAACCGCCAGAACAATGCTTCCCCGGGCCTGATACGTAATAATTCGGGAGAGACATGTAAGACGCGAGGTTATCGTAGGTATGACACCGATGACTCTACCGTACAGATCGCTGAGAATAGATACTCTCATCTTACGTATTTTATGTTCTATGTAGATCCCCATTGTGATATTGTGGTACATGATCATCAAGTCCTGGTGGGGCACTATTAAGGATTTCGGGGTACCAGCGGAAATAATCTTACAAAGTCACTTCAAATATCAGACATTTTATAAAAAGGCGTATCGCTTTCATCAATATATGCCAAACTCCATCTACAATCTCCAGATTTGTTAAAACTATACAAAGCCCATAGTTTGAGTACTGTACCCAACTTTTACTGAACATGACAATTATTAACTCCCGGTTTGTAGGAGGCATGAGCTAAAGCATAAACCTGCTGGACAGAAAAAGTTTAGGTCCAAGTCTAGAACAGATTTGACAAGAAAATGTAAACCCCAAATCTGCAAAGAATCAAAGATATTCCAGCGACAACGTTTAACTAGTATTGACTTGTCGGAACATCGTTCACATTGGTAGATTTGAACTTGAGTTTTGTAAATTAGTATCGAGGTAACACCTCTAAGATTACGGAAACTCTTCTTTTATGTTTTTATCTTTTTGTTTCAGGTTTTTTCGAACACTCCCGCAGAGGGTGAACTCCAACGAGGGGATATTTTTCTCGAGATTAACACGAGGGACGCTGCAGGCTTTACACACAAACAGGCTCTAGACCAGATCAAGTTTGGGGGGGGACAGATCGACCTCCTCATAGAAAGGTGTGTGCTGAAGTGAGAGGAAATAAATCGAGCTTGTCAAACGAAAATCTAACATATAGTGGCAGGTTAAATCAACACAGTAAAATAATCCTTACATACTTCAAATTGTCGTGTATTACAACAGCGCAGTTTTCATTTTTTAATCATCAGGCCAAAACATCCAAATAAGAAATACAGTCTCGATAAAAAAAGAACATTCTGGTAAATTAAAACTGCAGACCTGGATGTATAAACAGCAATGCGTCTAAGATAGAGTCCATGTCGCGTCAATACTTAATCTGTTTTCACTACTAGGCAGCTGCCTTGCTTTCGATATTACTATCTACCACAGCAACGGGGAGAAACCTCAACATGTGCATGACAGATGTAAAGAAACTTACATACCACGGCCATGGTAAATAACTGTCTTACGGTTGTACAGCAACTGACATACCACGGCCATGGTAGATAGCTTTCTTACGGTTGTAAAGCAACTGAAATACCACGGCCATGGTAGATAGCTGTCTTACGATTGTACAGCAACTGACATACCACGGCCATGATAGATAGCTGTCTTACCGTTGTAAAGCAACTGACATACCACGGCCATGGTAGATAGCTGTCTTACCGTTGTAAAGTAACTGACATACACGGCCATGGTAGATAACTGTCTTACGGTTGTAAAGCAACTGACATACCACGGCCATGATAGATAGCTGTCTTACCGTTGTAAAGCAACTGACATACCACGGCCATAGTATATAGCTGTCTTACGGTTGTAAAGCAACTGACATACCACGGTCATGGTAGATAGCTGTCTTACGGTTGTAAAGCAACTGACATACCACGGCTATGGTAGATAGCTGTCTTACGGTTGTAAAGTAACTGACATACCACGGCCATGGTAGATAGCCGTCTTACGGTTGTAAAGCAACTGACATACCACGGCCATGGTAGATAGCTCTGTTACGGTTGGCATGGTATTTCACGGAATGCCCGAATAACATTATTCCTGATAGTGGTGCATTTTGGTATGTAAGGAGTAATAATTTCGTCATCCACAGAGTTCTATGCATATTTCAAACAAAAGTCACTAAGTCGAAACCCAAAACTACTACAAGTTATGAATATTAACCTCAAGTAATAACTAAACAAACTACTTTATACCAGTAACTTACGTCATACCCCATAAGTCATCCATTAGCACACACTGTCCATAAGTCATAGTAACGATTGGAGATACACTCCGGTAATAATAATAATATACAACATGTATATAGCGCCATATATAGTTTGTAAAATTACTCTAAAGCGCTTCAAAGTGACGGTGACGTCTATCATTAACCCTAGCTTTGATTAAAAGAGTAATTCCTATATAAAGTAACTGTATGGCAATAAGTAGTAATTGGTTTAAAATATAAGTTTGTTTAATAAATGACTTATTAAAAATAAGGTGACAAACCTGATTTGAAAGCCTAATTTGTCATAGTTACAATATTATAATTAAAATCCTATCTAAGTAAGAGATTAACCCATTTTAACTACTGATATTCCATTTTATGTATATATATATTGTGTATTTGATCCTGGTTTTTGCCAGGATATAAATTACAGTGAAAATATGATTTCAAGGTATCAGACTTGTTGGATGACAGACAGCCTGCTTCAATGATCTTCCCATTCATGTTGTTCATGCCTAAGATAATCTCCCATTCATAGTGAGCTATGTGTATATGGAGGGGGAATAATGATGATATCCCATTCATAGTGAGCTATGTTTATATGGTTGGGGAATGATGATAATCTCCCATTCATAGTGAGCTATGTGTATATGGTGGGGGAATGATGATAATATCCCATTCACAGTGAGCTATGTGTATATGGAGAATGATGATAATCTCCAATTCATATTGAGCTATGTTTATATGGAGGGGGAATGATGATTATCTCCCATTCATAGTGAGCTATGTGTATATGGGGGGGGAATGATGATAATATCCCATTCACAGTGAGCTATGTGTATATGGAGGATGATGATAATCTCCAATTCATATTGAGCTATGTTTATATGGAGGGGGAATGATGATTATCTCCCATTCATAGTGAGCTATGTGTATATGGGGGGAGAATTATGATAATCTCCCATTCATAGTGAGCTATCTGTATATGGAGTGGGAATGATGATAATATCCCATTCATAATGAGCTATGTGGACATGGAGGAGGAATAATGATAATATCCCATTCATAGTGAGCTATGTGCATATGGAGGGGGAATAATGATAATATCCCCCTAATAGTGAGCTATGTGTACATGGAGGGGGAATAATGATAATATCCCATTCATAGTGAGCTATATTATATGGAGGGGGAATGATGATACTCTCCTATTGAATGATGATAATCTCCCATTCATAGTGAGCTATGTTTATATGGAGGGGGGATGATCATAATCTCACATTCATAGTGAGCTATGTGTACATGGAGGGGGAATAATGATAATATCCCATTCATAGTGAGCTATATTATATGGAGGGGGAATGATGATACTCTCCTATTCATAATGAGCTATGTTTATATGGAGGGGGAGTGATGATAATATCCCATTCATAGTGAGCTTTGTTTATATGTAGGGGGAATGATGATAATCTCCCATTCATAGTGAGCTATATGTATATGGAGGGGGAATGATGATAATATTCCATTCATAGTGAGCTATGTTTATATGGAGGGGGAATAATGATAATCTCCCATTCATAGGGAGCTATGTTTATATGGAGGGGGGATGATCATAATCTCACATTCATAGTGAGCTATGTGTACATGGAGGGGGAATAATGATAATCTCCCATTCATAGGGAGCTATGTTTATATGGAGGGGGGATGATCATAATCTCACATTCATAGTGAGCTATGTGTACATGGAGGGGGAATGGCGATAATATCCCATTCATAATGAGCTATGTGTACATGGAGGAGGAATAATGATAATATCCCATTCATAGTGAGCTATATTATATGGAGGGGGAATGATGATACTCTCCTATTGAATGATGATAATCTCCCATTCATAGTGAGCTATGTGTATATGGAGGGAGAATAATGATAATATCCCATTCATAGTGAGCTATGTTTATATGGTTGGGGAATGATGATAATCTCACATTCATAGTGAGCTATGTGTACATGGAGGGGGAATGGTGATAATATCCCATTCATAATGAGCTATGTGGACATGGAGGAGGAATAATGATAATATCCCATTCATAGTGAGCTATGTGTACATGGAGGGGGAATAATGATAATCTCCCATTCATAGGGAGCTATGTGTATATGGAGGGGGAATGATAATAATCTCCCATTCATAGTGAGCTATGTTTATATGGTTGGGGAATGATGATAATCTCCCATTCATAGTGAGCTATGTTTATATGGAGGGGGGATGATGATAATCTCACATTCATAGTGAGCTATGTGTACATGGAGGGGGAATGGTGATAATATCCCATTCATAATGAGCTATGTGTACATGGAGGAGGAATAATGATAATATCCCATTCATAGTGAGCTATGTGTACATGGANATTATATGGAGGGGGAATGATGATACTCTCCTATTCATAATGAGCTATGTTTATATGGAGGGGGAGTGATGATAATATCCCATTCATAGTGAGCTATGTGTACATGGAGGGGGAATCATGATAATCTCCCATTCATAGTGAGCTGTATTATATGGAGGGGGAATGATGATAATATCCCATTCATAGTGAGCTATGTTTATATGGAGGGGGAATGATGACCAATACGTCCTGTTCGTTTCACGAGAGCATGTTATTGAGTAACCGTTTGCTAGTGCTGGTACAATCTGTTATAACACATGATTTGATCGAGTAATCAATAATCTTGCATATATTAATATTTTTCGCATCATCCAGATTCATCATATAATCTGTTGTTTAATTCTTTGTTGTGTGGTACAGACCGGCTACACCAAACATCAACCCTCTTCATCCTCAAAGTCCAACACGAGCTCCGTCTAACCTACCAGCTGTTTTACCGGGAGCGGTGAGTATTCCGCACGGTATGACAGATACTGTATAAAGACTATAATAATGATATTGGTATCGGATTGATATATTTATTAAATACTTCAATAACAACATACCTACTTATTTTCGTCATTTGATTTCCTTCGTTATTTATAAATGTCGATCGTTTTGTCATCCTTTATCTTGGCGTGTTTTCCTATGTTTTCCATTCCTTTCTTCGTTATAAAGAAAATTCATTCAGTGTTATGCAGTTTTATCCCTGGGCGTTATATTTCGTTGATTTTTTCTTATACGCTTAGAATTTGATTGTTTCACCTGTAGCTCTGTCGTCTTGTTGTTGTTTTTTCTCCGAGTTCTGTTTTATTTTCTCTTTGCGTACTTTTGTGGCTTAACGTTTCTTATAATTCTTGACGTCACCTCATTCTTCTCGTTTCTTCATTATTTAGTAATTCCCTTTGATGTTACGTGTTACCTCGTTGGCTAATTTCGTCTAGGTTTAGTGATGTAATATGTTACCGTTTCATTATTTTATTACTTTGCTCTCAACATTAAATGTTGTCATATATCTTCGTGAATTTCGTTTTCCTTTTTTTTCTTCCTAAAAAAACAGTTTTTATCATTCTCTTATATTTTCGTTTGTTTCTTTTTTTTTCTCGGATATTATCGTTACGGTATTCAGTACTTTTCTCTGTGTTTCTTCTTTTTTTCTGTTGTTTCCTTATTATATTTATTTCATACCCTACCCTCAGAGGAAAATGACAAAACCTAACCGTTAGTGCAATACGAATCATTTCCTTGTGTTAAAAACAATATTATACTTATTTGTCCGGAATTATTGACAAAACTAAATTGCAATTCTTATGTTTTCAACAGATCCAGATTCCTATAAAGAAGCGGCCAGATCCGGTGTACGCAGCCCCCAGCATGCATCCACCACAGAACACGTCCGGACACCAACCCAAAAAGATCACACTCAACACGTTTGGAGGTGGTACTACTAGTTTTGGTGCCAGTTACGGTAAGCCCCCGGCGAAGACCGGGTGGTCCCCGCAACAATCCCCTTCCTCCTCCCAACAGCAGTACTCCCCTCAACCTAATATGATGGTGCGTGTCCAGGATAGTCTTGATAGTGCTTTGTCACCCAGGTCTTTCTCCTCATACCAACAGCCCGTTCAACACCAAGCTCCTCCTCCAATGCGCCAGTTCAGTGCCGGACCATCCTATCCCTCCCCAGGTTTGACGTCGACACAGGCAGAACTGCAGGACCAGCAGCCAAGTTATATCCGGTCTAGTGACCCCGTCCCCGAGGAGGATTTCTCATATATCCCTGTTTCACAGAGGAAGCAGACATTTTCTTCTAAACCTGCACCACCACCACGTAAGTACTTCCTCCATAGCTTAAACCATACATGCATACGATGGTGCTAGGTTTGTAAAAATGTTCTATTGCAAACATTAACAGCTGTGTTTAACGATGTCTCCAATCTAAAAAAAGTGCTCCGTTTTGAAACAAAGTACTCATCTGACCCTCAAAAGTCAGTTGCCTAGTTTCTTTAATCTTGTTACGATGCTATAACGTTGATGAACGTGTATAGGTCCCTCTTTCTGTAAACGTCCATCGTCTGCGCCGTCCTCTGTTGTAACGACGTCCAGGTTACTGTGTAACTCGTAGTTCTGTCAATAATATCCCTTCATACCTGGCCTATAGTCTACCTACTCGTCCCTTGCTATTCGCTATAATTCCATTCCTACCCTTCGCTACCATTTGAATCCTTAATGCTGCAGTGGTTTGGTTTGTTGTTAGATGCCTGGTGGGTTTGTATTATATGCCTTGAATATGCGTAGTTTTACTAGAAAAATCAAGTAGTAATTATGATGTTGGTTGATTTGTTATTTTTGATGCATTCCTTTGGATATAACAGAGGACATGCGCTATAATAATGGCAACAACGAGTTCCAAGAGGTTGGAGAAGAGGAGGAAGATAATTATCCAACAGCTCCAGTTTGGGAACGACGAAAAATGTTTGGTCAGGCCGCACAGCCTCAGAAAGGTGACCCAGTAGAATAGTACAGCACAGTCTATTCCACAACGTATCGGCTACAATTCGTCCCGCTTCTTCTCAAACACCAATAAATGCAACCATGATCTTCAATTAAAAACTAATTTAGGCGAAAAGTATTTTAACTATTATTTTGTGTATACTGAATAACGGCTTTTAATCAACAGTTCTATATCACTATATTGACGCATTAAGCTATCTAATAACTTATGATTGAACCGATGGTTGAAGACTGTAATTGGTTGTATTTTTGTGTTTTCCTTGTGAACTGCGCACAGGGTCGTGGCGAATGATGCTATACTAAGCAGGCAGTGTTTGTCGTGCGTTTAGACGTTAGCAAGCTGCAGACAACAGTTCTTATTTTGTAGCTCTTTAACAACTGTAGATATGCACAGGTAGATTATAATAAAGGTTGGATCTTCTGTAGGTACCGAATAAAACCGTATGCTGCTTAGAAATATTGTTTTGCACATTAAACAATGAAATATAATACCATCAAGAGCAAATACATCGGTGTTAACATTTCAATGCTACCGAGTAAAGTGTGCATAATTCAACGATCAATGGTAAACAGTTCAATGTTAACATGTCAAAAAATAAACAATTCAAAGCTAACATGTCAAAACGTAAACAATTCAATGTTAACTGGGCGAACAGCTTACCAAATAGAAACAGAGTTAAGTTCTAACATGACCTGGAGCTCACAATATAAAGACAAGTAAATGAAGTCAATTTTACCATTTCTAAAGTAAATATCCAAATGTTAAATAACTCATTCCTTGTGAGCCCGATAAAGGGTAAATAATTCAGTTTGCACATTATGAAAAGTAATAATTCAATAAAAATGAGGTCAAGAGTTAATAATGTAATACTAACTAGATAATACGGGACAAGTCACCGTCAACCATGACAAGAGTAGATATACATCATTGCCTGTGGAATTTCAGAAATAATTAGCATTAAGTTACAACCAGGTCAAAAGTTAACATTAAGTTACAACCAGGTCAAAAGTTAACATCAAGTTACAACCAGATCAAAAGTTAATATGAAGTTACAACAAGGTCAAAAGTTAACATCAAGTTACAACCAGATCAAAAGTTAATATTAAGTTACAACCAGGTCAAAAGTTAACATTAAGTTACAACCAGGTCAAATGTTCAGGTCAAAAGTTAACATTAAGTTACAACCAGGTCAAAAGTTAACATTAAGTTACAACAAGGTCAAAAGTTAACATCAAGTTACAACCAGATTAAAAGTAAATATTAAGTTACAACAAGGTCAAAAGTAAATATTAAATTACAACAAGGTCAACAGTAAATATTAAATTACAACCAGGTCAAAAGTTAACATTAAGTTACAACCAGGTCAAAAGTAAATATTGAATTACAACCAGGTCAAACGTTAACATTAAGTTACACCCAGGTCAAAAGTTAACATTAAATTACAGTAAGGTCAAAAGTAAATATTAAATTGCAACCAGTTCAAAAGTTAACATTAAGGCACAACTAGGTCAAAAGTTAACATTAAGCTACAACCAGGTCAAAAGTTAACATCAAGTTACAACCAGGTCAAAAGTTAACATTAAGTTACAACAAGGTGAAAAGTAAATATTAAATTACAACCAGGTCAAAAGTAAATATTAAATTACAACCAGGCCAAAATAAGTATTAAATTACAAACAGGTCCAAAATAAGTATAGAATTACAACCAGGTCAAAAGCAAATATTTAAAACAGAATGTGTTGCCTATTATTAATAACGTATGACATAATAACTAAATATGAGAATCAAGCACATCTTGCACCTGAAGATGTGTAAAACGTTGTTTTAGTTGTTGATCAAATACACCAAGTGGTTTGTTGTATTGTTTCTTGTCTGTATCCTGTACAGGTGTAGATTCGTGTGTAACTAATATCTTGTCTGTAATTCTATGTTTTAAGAATACTTGTCGGTATCCTGTACAGGTGTAGATTCATGTGTAACTAATATCTTGTCTGTAATTCTATGTTTTAAGAATACTTGTCGGTATCCTGTACAGGTGTAGATTCATGTGTAACTAATATCTTGTCTGTAATTCTATGTTTTAAGAATACTTGTCGGTATCCTGTACAGGTGTAGATTCATGTGTAACTAATATCTTGTCTGTAATTCTATGTTTTAAGAATACTTGCATTGTATGATGGAATGCTTTACTATTAATAGCTAACACCAACACACCGAGATAGTTGATCAATAAGGTAAATCAGTTATGATATCTAAAAAAAGACAGTTGTATAATATGGAAGTAAAAGACTGATGCTATATATTCACATTTCTAAGATAGTATTTATGTGAAGTGTATCGATATGCACGCTTATTCAATACAATGTAGTTTTCGTTTGCGTGATGAAACGGATCAGGAGTTAATCTCCAGTCAGTGCTGTCAGTGGCTCACCTCCCTGTTATTCTTATGTTTGATCATGCATTTATTTAAATGTACAATTCAGCTGTGACCTTATTGGAAACATAAACCACTTAACGTGCCTAAACTGTTGATGAAATACAGATAGATTCTCTACCATAATGACTTCTATCACTCATATACCATATGTAATATTGTAACGTAATACAGACAGACTCTCTACCATAATGACTGATATCACTCATATACCAAATGTAATATTGTAACGTAATACAGACAGATTATCTACCATAATGACTGATATCACTCATATACCAAATGTAATATTGTAACGTAATACAGACAGATTCTCTACCATAATGACTGATATCACTCATATACCAAATGTAATATTGTAACGTAATACAGACAGATTCTCTACCATAATGACTGATATCACTCATATACTATATGTAATATTGTAACGTAATACAGATAGATTCTCTACCATAATGACTGATATCACTCATATACTATATGTAATATTGTAACGTAATACAGATAGGTCATCTACCATAATGACTGCTATCACTCATATACCATATGTAATATTGTAACGTAATACAGATATATTCTCTACCATAATGACTGATATTTGGACATGACTCACTGTTGAATTATTGACAAACTATACCATATGTAATATTGTAACGTTTGGCGATGATACACCGGGACCTACGTCTTTATAACAAAGATCCTTAAACCGAATCCAATATCAAGCCATCTAAGGTTTACTTATATAATAAATATATTAACATTATTATCTCAGAGACAAATGCATGTAATCATTCTTTGATACAAATGCATGGTTGTGACGTATGCGTTTAGTTGGTATATACTGCGAACGGTCTTTAAAAACATTAATATGGAACAAATGTTATGCATGCGTCTATTTCCCAGGTTTCTCAAAAATCAATGTGCTATTTCTTGAGTATCGGTAGCGTGTGCCATCAAACTCAAATTACCACTCGACCTTCTTTATCATGTCAAATCCTTCATCGTGGCTCCAGGGCCATGACGATCTTATTTGGTAACTAGGAATAGGCAAATTACTAGCGTAAACCAACAGACAACCGTGTTTATAGCGGCTATTTTAATATACAACGTATATAGCAGTTATTTAATATACAATGTTTTAGCAGTCATTTTAGTTATAAAATGTTTAGCAGTCATTTTAGTTATAAAATGTATGTAGCAGTTATGTTAGTTATACAATGTATATAGCAGTTATGTTAGTTATAAATTGTATATAGCAGTTATGTTAGTTAAACATACGATGTATGTATCAGTTATGTTAATATATATAGCAGTTATGTTAGTTATACAATGTATGTAGCAGTTATGTTAGTTATATACTGTATATAGCTGTAATGTTAGTTATACAATGTATATAGCAGTTACGTTAGTTATACAATGTATGTAGCAGTTATGTTAGTTATACAAAGTATATAGCAGTTATGTTTGTGATACAATGGGTATAGCAGTTATGTTGGCTATACAATTCATATAGCAGTTATGTTTCTGATACAATGTGTATATCAGTTATGTTAGCTATACAATGCATATAGCAGTTATGTTAGTTATACAATGTATATAGCAGTTATGTTAGTTATATAATGTATGTAGCAGTTATGTTAGCTATACAATGTATATAGCAGTTATGTTAGTTATACAATGTATATAGCAGTTATGTTAGTTATATAATGTAAATAGCAGTTATTTTGGTTATACAATGTATATAGCAGTTATGTTAGTTATACAATGTATATAGCAGTTATGTTAGTTATACAATGTATGTAGCAGTTATGTTAGTTATACAATGTTTGTAGCAGTTATGTTAGTTATATAATGTATGTATCAGTTATGTTAGTTATAAAATGTATGTGGCAGTTATGTTGGTTATACAATGTATATAGCAGTTATGTTTGTGATACAATGTGTATAGCAGTTATGTTAGTTATACAATGTATATAGCAGTTACGTTAGTTATACAAAGTATATAGCAGTTATGTTAGTTATACAATGTATGTAGCAGTTATGTTGGTTATACAATGTATATAGCAGTTATGTTTGTGATACAATGTGTATAGCAGTTATGTTAGCTATACAATGCATATAGCAGTTATGTTACTTATACAATGTATATAGCAGTTATGTTAGCTATGCAATGTATGTAGCAGTTATGTTAGTTATACAATGTATATAGCAGTTATGTTAGTTATACAATGTATATAGCAGTTATGTTAGTTATATAATGTATATAGCAGTTATGTAAGTTAAAAAATGTATACAGCAGTTATGTTAGTTATACAATGTATATAGTAGTTATTTTAGTTATACAATGTAGATAGCAGTTATGTTAGTTATACAATGTATGTAGCAGTTATGTTAGTTATAAAATGTATATAGCAGTTATGTTAGTTATACAATGTATGTGGCAGTTATGTTAGTTATACAATGTTTATAGCAGTTACGTTAGTTATACAATGTATGTAGCAGTTATGTTAGTTATACAATGTATATAGCAGTTATGTTAGTTATACAATGTATATAGCAGTTATTTTAGTTATACAATGCATATAGCAGTTATGTTAGTTATACACTGTATGTAGCAGTTATGTTAGTTATACAATGTATATAGCAGTTATTTTAGCTATACAATGTATGTAGCAGTTATGTTTGTGATACAATGTATATAGCAGTTATGTTAGTTATACAATGTATGTAGCAGTAATGTATGTTATACAATGCATATATCAGTTATATTTGCTATATAATGTATATAGCAGTTACGTTAGTTCTACAATGTATGTAGCAGTTATGTTAGTGATACAATATATATAGCAGTTATGTTAGTTATACAATGTATGTAGCAGTTATGTTAGTTATACAATGTATATAGCAGTTACGTTAGTTATACAAAGTATATAGGAGTTATGTTAGTTATATAATGTATATAGCAGTTATGTTAGTTATAAAATGTATATAGCAGTTATGTTAGTTATACAATGTATATTGCAGTTATGTTATTTATACAATGTACATAGCAGTTATGTTAGTTATACAATGCATATAGCAGTTATGTTAGTTATACAATGTATGTAGCAGTTATGTAAGTTATAAAATGTATACAGCAGTTATGTTAGTTATACAATGTATGTAGCAGTTATGTTTGTGATACAATGTATATAACAGTTATGTTAGTTATACAATGTTTATAGCAGTTATGTTAGTTGTACAATGTATATAGCAGTTATATTAGTTATATAATTATATAGCAGTTACGTTAGTTTTACAATATATGTAGCAGTTATGTAAGTGATACAATATATATAGCAGTTATGTCAGTTATACAATGTATATAGCAGTTACGTTAGTTATACAAAGTATATAGCAGTTATGTTAGTTATATAATGTATATAGCAGTTATGATAGTTATAAAATGTATATAGCAGTTATGTTAGCTATACAATGCATATAGCAGTTATGTTAGTTACACAATGTATGTAGCAGTTATGTTAGTTATACAATGTATATAGCAGTTATGTAAGTTATAAAATGTATATAGCAGTTATGTTAGCTATACAATGCATATAGCAGTTATGTTAGTTACACAATGTATGTAGCAGTTATGTTAGTTATACAATGTATATAGCAGTTATGTAAGTTATAAAATGTATACAGCAGTTATGTTAGTTATACAATGTATGTAGCAGTTATGTTAGTTATACAATGTATATAGCAGTTATGTAAGTTATAAAATGTATATAGCAGTTATGTTAGTTATATAATGTATATAGCAGTTATGTAAGTTATAAAATGTATACAGCAGTTATGTTAGTTATACAATGTTTATAGCAGTTACGTTAGTTATATAATGTATGTAGCAGTTATGTTAGTTATACAATGTATATAGCAGTTATGTTAGCTATGCAATGTATGTAGCAGTTATGTTAGTTATACAATGTATATAGCAGTTATGTTAGTTATACAATGTATATAGCAGTTATGTTAGTTATATAATGTATATAGCAGTTATGTTAGTTATACAATGTAGATAGCAGCTATGTTAGTTATACAATGTATGTAGTAGTTATGTTAGTTATATAATGTATGTAGCAGTTATGTTAGTTATAAAATGTATATAGCAGTTATGTTAGTTATATAATGTATATGGTAGTTATTTTAGTTATACAATGTAGATAGCAGCTATGTTAGTTATACAATGTATGTAGTAGTTATGTTAGTTATATAATGTATGTAGCAGTTATGTTAGTTATAAAATGTATATAGCAGTTATGTTAGTTATATAATGTATATGGTAGTTATTTTAGTTATACAATGTAGATAGCAGTTATGTTAGTTATACAATGTTTGTAGCAGTTATGTTAGTTATACAATGTATATAGCTGTTATGTTAGTTATAAAATGTATATGGTAGTTATTTTAGTTATACAATGTAGATAGCAGTTATGTTAGTTATACAATGTTTGTAGCAGTTATGTTAGTTATTCAATCTATGTAGCAGTTATGTTAGTTATAAAATGCATATAGCAGTTATGTTAGTTATACAATGTATGTAGCAGTTATGTTAGTTATACAATGTATAAAGCAGTTATGTTAGTTATACAATGTATATAGCAGTTATGTTAGTTATACAATGTATGTAGCAGTTATGTTAGTTATACAATGTATAAAGCAGTTATGTTAGTTATACAATGTATATAGCAGTTATGTTAGTGATACAATATATATAGCAGTTATGTTAGGTATATAATGTATATAGCAGTTATGTTAGTTCTACAATGTATATAGCATTTATGTTAGGTATACCATGTATATAGCAGTTATTTCAATATACAGAATTTGTAGCAGTTTTTTACTTAACCATGTTTATATCAAATATTTTAGTATACAGTGTATACAGTTATTTTCTCATATAATGTTCGTTAAAGTAATTTTTTAATATTTTTTTTTAATTGCATAGAAGTGCAGTTGATGACTGATGGTAAGTTCCCATCACAATTTATAAATAGTAAATGTTTTCTAAGATAGTTTATTTTGTGTATTACAGCCGTCCCTAAAGGTAAAAAGGGACCGAAGCCGTTCAAACCGCAGTCACAAGATTATGCTGACTTTGGCGTGGATTACACGAAAATCAAGAAACAACCCGAGCCTGCAAGGTTCCAGCCATCGGCACCACCAGCGCCACCCCCAGTACAGTCCAGACCAGTCAACTACAGCGGGGACAATATGGGTGGTTATGATAGGCCACCAGCGTGGTCCAGCTCTCTGAGATCGTCAAATGTCTCTAAGCCTTGGGAACTTGAACAACAGGACTCCTTCATGCCTGTCCAAAACACTCCTCAGCGAGGAGGCCCGCCCTCCGTCAGTCCCAAACCGACGTCGCCCAGACCCCCTGCACAGGCTCCGGTCCAGAGACAGATCCCTATAAGGTCGGTGCCTAATGGCGCACCCCATGGTGACGCTGGGGATGCCAAGGTGGTTCACTTACAGTACAATTCGCCCATGGGCTTGTATTCCGGGGCCAATATAAAGGACACATATACAGGTCAAACACAAGGTCGATATCCGTAAGTTAAGACTGAGGTGGAGACAAGCCGCCAGGGCATGCCACCATACCTGTAGCGGCGGATCCACATAATCCACTTAGTCCATGATAGCAGCCACCGTCCTTTATAGAAAGGGGCGTCGCCACAATGACATATTACAGTAACGTCTAGCACAAACATGCAAGAAGTACTGTGATTGGAGGATTTGTGGGAATACTCCTTCTTCCTGTCGTAGTTTGTAACGCATGTGCATTGAGCTCGGTAGATGCGAATTGAGGTTCAATCTAAACAAAATGATATGCTTTCAATTATTCAAATCTCTCATATAGCAATACAAGCATAAAATCAAAGAAATCCTTTTCATTATGTTATACATCAGAAAATACTATTTACATAGTGTTTACCTTGTCACGTGCATGTTAAACATCATTGTAACAAGACAACAGAAGCCTGCAGCTTTTTCTACAGTATGCAATAACATTTATGAATGAAGAATGAACTGAAGTTATAGCTAGGAAATCAAATTATATAAAACAGTAACACATGTATTGTGATGATAATATTGCGTCAGCTTTCCATCATCATGAATGATGTTGGATTTTTGTTATTTCCAAACATTAATGGGTGTAAATAGAACACATTAACGAAAATTCTGATAACAGAAGAAATGTAATTTGGTTTAAAAGGGGAACTAAATAAAGACAGATACACTTGTTTTGTGGGCGACTGTACGACGTAGGTTGGCTATCATGGACTGGTGGTGTGACGTCACGCAGGACCCTGTAATGGTAGAGTAGACTCTGACTAGTATCCGCGTTAACAGCATGACCTCTGAACCTTGTCCACCACCACCACCACGTTTGTACCTGTGATTAGTGTTAACTGCTAGACCCCGGTGGCGCGTTACTGGCATGTTCCCAATCTGTAGGATAGGTAGTGCATGAATATAAAGTCAAATGTCTGTAGTGTTAGTAGGGAGTAGGGTTAGGGGTGTCAAAGTGCGTGTATAAGGAATTTTCACTGTCGAATACTGAGTTACAATCAGGTGTTTGTGTTATCTTATTTTAGTGGAAGTAAATATAATTGAATTTCAGTTTGAATTCCGTTGCGTTTCTTTTGTGGTGCTAGACTAGAAATTGAGTGTTATTTCTGCTTTATCAAGATTTGTGTCGGCTGATCGAGCGATTTTGTTTTGTTGTTTAAAATGCATTATCGATGAACACAGGGAAAATATTAAAACAAACAAAGAAAGGTAACTCTATTTTGTAGAGGTCCAAAATACAAATTGGGAGCATGCCAGGTACACCTACAAAGTGTTTCCAAATACAGAGAAGGTTGAAAGCCTGGTTAGAAAGCAGGTCCTTTATGTCGTAATATTACTCAAAGGGATAGATATAACACGTTCTAGTCACTGTTCCCCCACATAGCTCTCGACCCCTCCCTAGATATAACACGTTCTAGTCACTGTTTCCCCACATAGCTCTCGACCCCTCCCTAGATATAATACGTTCTATACACTGTTCACCCACATAGCTCTCGACCCATCCCTAGATATAACACGTTCTATACACTGTATACCCACATAGCTCTCGGCCCCTCCCTAGATATAGTACGTTCTATACACTGTTTACCCACATAGCTATCGACCCCTCCCTAGATATAACACGTTCTAGACACTGTGTCCCCACATAGCTCTCGGCCCCTCCCGAGACATTTTTCACGCCCATTAATGAATTAAATGGACACGAATGTATACTATTGGCATTAATATTAACAGGTATGCTTTCCGATCAACGGTAAGTATATGATCGGTTTCACCTATACCACTGCATTGTGTATAACGTAAGAATGATTATATATATATAAGTTATTAACATATTATTTAGGATAATGGTCAGGTTAACACAATAGAAGGAAAAATACAGTGCATGACATGAGATATAATGTATTAAGGTAAGTTCATAACATCTGTTGATTCAATTAGGTATTATAACTAAGTATGAACACCTGCTATGTTTTGTCATTTTTCAATATGTTTTGCATTATTGATATTGATTACAATGTATTGCAAACTTTAAATATATATAGAAGTATTATTATCTCAAAACATTCCATAAAAGTTCAATTAGTACATGTTAACCCATTCTTGAGAAAAGATGGATAACGATTCATTAAAACCATACCAAACAATGTCAGACATTTTAACGCTAAATAGTAACTAATGTTTGTGCTGACAGGATGTCTTCCACTGCCACACCCTCTGGGCCTACTCCAGCCAATACCAAGACTGGAGACAGGGACTGGAGCGAGTCACACGTTTATCGTATGCTGCATGATCGGAACCCAGCGTCACACGCTGCCCCCGCGGTGAATACCAAGCCTCCGCCACCTCCGGTGGCTTACAAGCCAGTGCATCAACCGCCGGCTCCACCTGCACAAAAGCAGTATCAACAAGCTCCACAGAACAACTACGGCTTTGACGATAGCTACGGAACCTCGGACTTTTAGATGCTAAATATGTGACGGTATAATTAATTACGGAACCTCGGACTTTTAGGTGCTAAATCTGAGACAAGATGATAAACCGACTTATATTTTGTGGTGTAGCGATGAAATAGTGAGAAGTTCTTGGTCAGTGACGGATACAGAAATTGTATTGGGAAGGGATGAGATGATGGTACATTAATTGTGCAATTCAAATATTCATATGTATTTGTAAATTCTTAAAGGCCATCCTTGTCCCGGCTGCCTTGACCCATTGCTTTGGAGCGAAACATTTCTCATTATTCTTAGATTCATGCAAAGCTTTGAGTTTTGAGGTGTGTAGTGGCATATTCGGTCTATTTTGAGAAAAACAAACTTTTGAATTTTCTTCCGAGAACTTTTGAATAAGAAACTTGTCATGGTGCTGAATTGGTGTTAGACAATGAAGCTATAATTGTAATTAATCCCTTTGTGTTGTGGAGCGGAACAAACGATGTTTCGTCTTCTGATGTCCATCCACGGTACAAAGGAAGATGTCTTCCAATGACAGGAAGATCGTCAGATTTGTAAAAACGTCGTGAAAACGATCAGATTTCGAAGACATTGGTTAATATATGTCAGCTATGTCGTTAAGGTCGGACATCGAGAAAATGTGCAATACAATATTTATTATACATGTTGTTGTGTGACGACTAGTTGCACGCTTTCTGTGATTGTACTATATTTAGGGTCGTTACCTAGACAAGTTTACCTGTGTTAGTTAATGATGTGACGGCATTCTATGATCTGACATAAGTAGTTAGCGGCCAATTTTCATACTAACATATGGTGAGTTGGTCCGTAAATGTGATGTAACAGTTCTGATTGGACGGTTTTTGTATGATTCGCTTTCGTGTGCTCTTGTAGCCTTTTCCTCTTTCCTGGAATGTTCATATTAAAGTTTATGCCTTAAATTAAGATTGTGCAATAAAACATTTTTATTTGTAAATGTGACTTATTAACAGATCTTTTACACGTTTAATTTATATATATATATATATATTTATATCGAGATGCAAAAGGGATATATCATACACGGCAGACATTGATGAGCTAAGATGCATTGTCCTGTACAGTGAACGTACAATAAAGTGGTCTCTCATTTACGGCCTTATCTTTGTTGTTTTTTTGATCTGAATATAATAACAAATTAAACAAAACTACCGAAATATAAGAACGGACATTGGACTATTGCACCTTGTAATGGTTGCTGTTCGTTATTTGGGGGGAAAAGGGTTAAAAATTGGGAAAAAATCAACAACGAAAGCAAAGGTTTACTAAATCTTTATCGCTAATATGATCACAGATATTTGGAAATAACAGAGAAAGTTAAGTGTACTTTACACATTGGTTACAATTTTTGATTTAGTAAATATTCAACATGATATAAAGATAACAAAATGTATAAGATACACGTAAGAGAAAAACAACTGTTCATAAACATTAATGTTAATCCGTCAACATTAACTCATGTCAACGAAAACATTAACCACAGAACTGTAGGTGAATATCTGTCAACATAAGAAACAACAGCTGATGAGACGTATTCCTGGTCTCTGGAGGTTTACACAGCTAGGTATCCCTACACCAATCAACAGAATGGTTATGCAAATTAAGCGCTACAGGTTAAAAGAGTAGTAGCTTGATGACCCTTTTTTCATTTTCTAAAGCCTGTCAGGGTTACTGCAAAAATATGTTAACTTAATAGTTGTTAACGTTTACATTATGCAAAGGTTTGTTAAAACATTAACACTTATATAGACACATATCTGATGTTAGTTATTACAACCAATTATCTATATATTCACGAAAGTTGAAACCTCACAACCACACTGATCCCCTTGGCATTTTGCTGTTTCACAATCTTTAGGTGAATGGCTTGATGTTAAAGGAAACCGTCAAGAAATCGTTAAGATAAAACCATTCTACTGACTAGTTGTAAAACAGTAAAATGCATTGTGGATCAGTCTTCCTGTAATTTTAAATTTACGTATATTTTCCGGTCAAAATAAAACATAAATCATTAATAAGGGGACAACCCTACTGTGATAGTAGTAGTTTTCTCATTCAAATACATTGTATATACAAAGATAGTTTAGAAATGGTTCAGTTAGACCCACAGAGGGAGATACCAGTAGGCAGATAGACGGACTTGTATGCATAGTTGTGACCCTAATATCCTATAGTGAGTCGGGGACATTCAAAGGTTTTCCAACAGAAAATATTGATGAATAGGCTGACATCAAAACACTTGGTTTGAAAAAGGAAGCGTAGGACGTCTTCAATTTTCAAAAAGGCCCGTAGTGGTCTTTAGGGGGTCACCAAAAGATTGAAAGTGATCACAGCATTTCGTCCGACAATTGTGTGTATACTAATTGTACGGGGAGTAAAGGTGAGCCAGTACATATTGCTGTACAGACTGGATACGGTCACGTTAATGAACGACAATTGTATTTCATTATAGTAATAATCCACTGAAAACCAAAGAATAGGCAGATACTTTCTACGGTCATTGGGGATTAGAACAGGAAAGGGTTTATAGATGAAAAAGACCAAAACAAATGAATTAAAAATAATAATAAAAATGTTGAGAGAACACAATGAAAAGCAATACCGCAAACAATACGTTTTGCAACATTTTAAGGTTTTAAACTGATTTTTTTTTTAAATGATGAAACAAATAAGGCGACAATTTGTCAACTATATTTTGAAGACGAATTTCAAGCATAAAACAAACCAGCTAGTAATAATAAGTCATCTAATACAAAAATACAAGAGGACGACCTTCATGATATAACTGTTGATACGATGGAAATGACACTGGAGGAAAGTATCTATCCAACAATATAGTGGGTAGCGGCCGGCGTGAATATAGTGGTCGTTAAGGTGAGAGGCGACTTATGTAGGAACTGTCATATTCCTGCCATTAATCCATGTTTTTAATGTCCCTTTCAAATTTAGCAGCGGAAGTATCTCTCTTCACTAGATCTGTAAAAGAAATGTGATATAAAATACAATGCATCTCTCTTTACTAGATCTGAACCAGAAAATGTGATACATTACAAAAAATGATATATATTACATGCACAATGTAAATATCTTTACCAGATATGTAGTACAAAATGTAATATATGAAATATTGCATCTCCCTTTCAGATCACTATCAAAACCTGTGACATGTTACACAATAAATTTAGCTGTATTCTCATTCAAACAAATGAGAATCGTCCTTAACAGTTATTTCTTTACCTCTCGCTCCTCTTTGCCTTGATACTATTCAGGAAATAGTTTAAACAATTTAATCTGTTATCTGTTCTATGCAAACATATTCATTACGAGTATTTTAATTGTCAGAAGATTAATCCTGAAATGGCAACATAACAACAGGTTGTATCTGCTCGACAGTCGTTAAAGACTGCGGTCGTAAAGGAGGCCAAATCAGAATACACCGGCATACAAACTTCCATGTCAAAGTGCTTATCTTGTTCATTCGGAAAACAATCAACGGAGAGAGAGATTGAGGTGGCAAAATAAACAGTCATAAACATTTGGAGCAAACTTCGTCTAATCCGATATCAGGCCTTGGCAGCAAAATGGAAGTTGTGACGAGTTTGGAGTAGATTGATACAACAACATAATACAACTTCGATTGTAATCGGATAATACCTAAATTTCGACCAATCAGAAAGCAGTGAACGGAGGCTATCTCGTCCAAAATGTAAATTGAAATTGAGATCGAGTCTGAGGTGGATAATTACACAAACAAAATGTATATACCAAAACTTGATTTAAATAAGAGAATAACTAAATTCCGACCAATCAGATGTCAGTCTTCGTTTGGAGGATTTAAGTATATGTCAGATAAATAACATACGTACCAAGCACTGCCTACAACACTATGCTAGATAATGTTGGATCTCACTATGGGGCATACATTTGATGGATACTTACGGGACGCAGGGATCACTTCGATCGTGTAAGGAGCAAGGATCTTCCGTGTATAAAGTGTACATCCGGTTGTGGCCATGTTCTGGATGAAACCTTCCACGACCGCAGCCACTGGCTTAATGCTGACAGCGTTTCTGACGTAGATAACCACCACGGTGACGTCATGGTTGTACATCATCACTGTCTGTTTTAGAAATCAAAAACGCAGTGTTATAGATAGATAGATAGATAGATATACATATTTCTTTATTTCCTCTAGGTAAAGAGATTACAACTATTGCATTAATTAATACATTATATTAGACCATATTACATGTCGATAAGTAAAGAGAAAACAGCACAGATCATTTGCTTCAACACGGCAAGTTTCACATTTAGTTAAATTGTTAGCAACTACTGAGTATTGACCTCTTATATAAACATTTAAGAAGCACTCTCACATGGATAAGTTTAAACACTGGGTTTGATATTTCATTTACATAAGATATTTGTACGCTAATTTGATATTTATGAACTATATTTATCATTTACAATCGAATCTTGTTCAATTCTGTCAAGAGTAGAATACCAGTTCAGGAACGTGTACCTCTAGTTTGGGTTCCATATCAACCATCATTTGTTTTAGATCAGGAAGTATATCCATCATAAAATGCTCATCATTCAGTCCTAGTAAGTTTCTATTACCTAAAATAACACAGAACTGTTGATCGTCCTCCATATGTGGGAAATGCACGTGCCCTGTCATCTCGAGTATATTTACTATACTGTCAAGTAATCTGTCCCTACTTTGAAAAAGACTTTGACATTCGCTTACAAAGTGGACGCCAATATCATTTGTTTGTTTTTCCTATAATTTACATTTATCAATATTCTCTCATATGTAAAAAACAGCTCGATCAGTTCAAGAAATTTCCACATAAACGTTGGGTATTTTAACCCAAGAGTTAATAAGAGCGTAGCTCTCGGGCGCCGAAGGCGCCCGAGCGAAGCTCTTTAATGGTAAAACATGCGTGCGTAAACAGAGCTGCTTCTCCTTTCTACACCTTGCCTTTGCGCTTTTTTCGTCCGGAAGTAGCCCTCCAGTGGGGAAACAGGAAGTGACTTCTAGCCAATGAAAAGGGAGAAAAACAGGAATTCCGACTGACGTCATATTTCTATATTCTATTTCTGTTACGCGCGAAAACGGAACTCTCATTTGCTATACAAGAATGTAAAATATTACTACTTAAATATCGAGGCACCAGGGATTTCTCCGATTTCTTGTGCGCACACTTCCGGTAGATTATTTACATATGTTACGGAAGATGACAGACACGGTGGCTGCGTTAAAACTTGTGTCATGTAGTATGTAGTAATTTAAAGTACATGTATGTTATAGTGTGATAGCTGCAGAAACAGACGATTAGTTCAGTCATTTCTTTCCCGTTTCTTTGGCTTGTAATCGTGCTAAATGTTGGCCAGGTTCAGGCGTGTGGGACAAGGGGTGCATACTAATCTGCTAACCGGCAATTCATGTTTTCTGCACTTCAATAATATCAACATGCATTACTATCTTAAGAATGTTATGACACATTTTCTTAAGCATGATCACAGGGGCCTGTGGTATGATGCAGTTCTATGGGAACACTCGGAAGAAAGAAAAACATGCTGAGCATGTACAGCAAAGATTTCAAGGTATGTAAACATTAAGAAAAATTGGTGTTATTTTTATTATAGATCTATAATGAGATTAATGACCAAATGCTTAAAAAATCAAACCATGAAAAAATACAACATTATAAAATAAAATTTAGATTTACCTACTTGTGTGTCTCAGAATATTTTTATATTGTGTTAAGAGTTCAATTTTTTCCTTGTTGTATCAGGTATGCAGATGAAGTCACTGTGGGATGACCACATCCTTATATGTTACAAGTGTAAGAGATGACTTTTTCTTCTATAAACTTTCCTGGCAGAGACACATATACATCCACCCAACTGAAATTCCCCTGAGTGTGTCAGTAAGTAAGACTACATTTAATGCAATTAAGTTATAAATGTTATAATATTATAATCCAATTACGCTCCAGTCAATTAATTAGGTCATTATCAATTTTTTCGATGGATAATAATTATTCAAATATTGGAATTATTTCAATTTGAAATGTTATATTTGTGAAATTCTGAAATTATGTATGAACCTTGCCAAATAGATTCCCTATTTACTTGATTCACTGTGCCATTATTTGAAACAAAACTATTCGCTTAACTTAAGGTGTCCCTATTTTATATTTTTCCAAATAAAAAAAATGTCTCCACCCATTTTTCATGTTTTCAGATGTACAATTTCATTTTCACAAATTTGCCTGCAAGTTAATTTTAATACATTCTACTAGCCCAACCTATGATTTCATAGTAAATATTAAACGTTTTCCCTAGACCAAATTGATATTAAATCTACTAGCCCAAGTGTTGAAGCAGTTGATATGTACAGTATTACACACCCCTGACAGATAAATGCAATATATATATATATTAAATACTGTCATAATATTGTACTTAACAACCAACCTAGTCAACTCCTTTCCAGAGCTCATTTGTCCCTGCCTTTTTACCAGTATATTTCACATGGTATATTATGCATGTACATTAATTATATATGACCTTATCATTTCATTCTCATCATAATGAACAAACTGGTGTTATACAATGATGTTTCCTGTGATTGGTTTATTATTTGTTGTGATGCTGTTTTTTTTATCAAACAGTTAAACAGAAAGTAGATGCCACTCAGAAACAACATTCAGAAGACTATGGCATCAGTGTCTTCCCCACATTCAGTATGACATGCAGGACAGATTCTGACAGAATGGAAATCTATTAGGAATTGCATACAGAAGGTAATAAAATTGAATTGGGTACAATATGTACAGCATTGATTTGCTTAAAGGTTGATTACAGCAGTGTTACCTTACTTTAAAATTCTGCCTATAACCTATATTACTTTACCAGTGCAGATACAACCCCCAAACACCAACCATTCAACTGCATAATGTGTTTGCAGACACATAGTTTCCTATACACTGGTAAGCAGGTGAATCCACTAGCAAACAGAAGACCTAGCAAGCTTTGCCAATGATCAATACATTGGATCTTTCTTTAAAGCAGGGATATATATTCCTCATAAATACAATATTTAGTTGCTCGAAATATATGTCTCTGCTTTAAAAACATTTTGGACTTTAATATCCTGAAACTGGTTAGATGTACTATTTGAATTGCTTCTTTACCTCCAATCCTGACAAAATACACTGACTGTATGTATTAAATTTGTTAATACCTTTTTGAGTGTGTGCCTTGCAGGGAGGGGGTTGTTGCATAGGTTGAGATGGGGTCATCTTCCCCCTGAACTCAATCGTTTCTGATTGTTCAATGGTTTTTCTTTTACATCCAATGAATGTGTAAAGGCGGATTGGTCGAGTGGTTAACACTCCGCCTTCCAAGCAGGCGGCCGGGGTTCGATCCCCGTAGTCGCCGTACGCATGGAATATTAGAGAAAGTGTTTTTCTCCTGCCCACACAACTCCAACAACCCAGGTGGAGTATAAAATGGTCTGGGGTGTGTGTTGCGGTACCTGTGCTGTAGCATTCAAGTGAGGTGGCACTATAAATGATACCGTTGGAAGCACGGTCCCACTACAAACAGAACACAATACATCTCTAGCACACACACAGGCATACACACATAGGGAGATATTAGCCAGGTGGCATANTTTATATTGTGTTACATAGATGATCACCAAACCTTGTTTGTACCAGGCTTTTTGCTTTTTAATGCATATATACTTTCTGTTGATATATACACTACATGTAATTAAATGTCATTTCAGGGGTGCTTAAGGTGAAGCCTGCACTTGACGGGGAGGAGATTAATGTGAGACTAGTAATGAGAGTGACAGTCATTCCTGAATGTCTTCCAGTGGGGTTAGAGGCTAAAGGATTGTCACCAAGTTGGCAACATATGCCTGCTACCTCTACAAAAATACTTGCAATAACCTTCCCTGCCTACTTCTAGATGTAATTAATCTCATACTGGTGATCTATCCAAACAAAGGAATGATGACATACTGTGTTTGAAATCTACTTCTTAGGTTAATAGTGCATTTCAGTGACTATTCTATTCAGTCCATTTGTACTGGCGTTAGGACTGTCTTTCTGTGGCTGTACAAGTTTTATAGTTTTTTTTTATCATGTCAAAGTGTTTACTGGATGTAGAGTGTGAGGCTAAAATGTGTAGTGTTAGGCGATGAGTATTAAAATTTTCTTTGGCTAATAAAATGATGGGAAATGAACAAAACAGAACTTGTTATTTATTACCTACAAAAATTCAGAAAAATAGTATTAACTAGTACTAATTGTAACGGATGGCCGTTACAGAAGTCCCCCAACGACCCCTGTTGGACTGAGGCAAAATCAGACAACAGCTTAATTGCGACCAATAAGAGGACTCCATTTTGTTACCATGGCAACTGAGCTGTTCGAAACTGTTACCATTGTGTTTTGTATCCCTTAAAACCCCTATGCACTAATTCTGGGCAAAATCAGACAACAGCTAAATTTCGACCAATCAGAGGACTCCATTTCGTTACCATGGCAACTGATCTGTTCGAAACTGTCACCATCGTTATTCGCATCCCTCAAAACCATTATGTACCAATTCTAGACAGAAGCAGACAACATCTAAATTTCGACCAATCAGAGGCCTCCATTTCGTTACCATTGCAACTGAACTTTTCGAAACTGTTACCATTTTGTTCGGAAATCCTGAAACCCCTATGTACCAATTTTGGGCAGAATCAGAAAACAACTAAATTTCGACCAATCAGAGGCCTCCATTTCGTTACCATGGCAACTGAACTTTTCAAATCTGTTACCATTGTGTTCGGAATCCCTGAAAACCCCTATGTACCAAGTTGGGGCAGAATCAGACAACAGCTAAATTTCGACCAGTCGGAGGCCTCCATTTTCGACTAATCAGAGGCTTCCATTTCGTTAACATGACAACTGAGCTGTTCAAAACTGTTTCCATTGTTTTCGGCAGCCCTGAAAACCCTTATGTACCAATTTTCTACGAAATCAGAGCCAAAAACTCCAAAACCGGAAGTAAGGTTCTGGCGGCCATCTTTGACTTCCGGTCGTGATAAAAATAGCCTGTTGCACACCTAGACACCCTCATGAGTATCTGTGTGAAGTTTCATGATGATACGCTGAATAGTTTCTGAGAAAACCTCTGGACAAGTTCATGGCTGAAGAAGAAGAAGAAGAAAAAAAAGAACACAGAGGAATAAAAACAATAAGTCCCCAAACATTCTGTGCCTGAACAAAATTGCCTGTTTTATTTTCTGAAATTGATGTTTACAATTTTTTGAGAAAAACAATCACTTAATTGAAACGGCAAGATTTTGAAGTTTTTCCATAAATGAAAAATGGCACTGTTAAAACAAATGACCTCATCGACCTTAAATATTTGCATGGGAAAAGTCTGAGGCTAAACATACCACCATTTTCAACTGAAATATAATAGTCAAATACTTATACACAGGTACTTTGTGTACTGTATTGGGTGGTCGGGTGATGAAGTGGATAGCACACTTGCCTTTTACCAAGGCAGCCGGGGTTCGATTACCCAATCGGACATGAAAAGGTATGGGGTCACCTGTCCGACCACGTGGGTTTTCTCTGGGTACTCGGTTTTCTGTCACAGTAAGGCACCCTACTCGCTAATATCCAGGCCAACAAATGTGATTAATATAAGCTGAAATAACATGTTTCATAATTGTTGTAAAATAAATAAAGTTTATATATATTTCCTGTACGATTTTTATCCAAAGTGTCGCAAGAATATACACTTAAGAGAAATAAAAATGGTGATTAATTCAAACAGCCAGGACCTTTTGATTTTCTAGATTTTTATCCCCTGATTTCACCGAAACGGGGATATTAATTTGGGTTTGTCCGTCTGTCTGTCTGTCACGCTTCGTTTCCGTGCAATAACTACAGCAAATATTAACCGATTTTCTTCAAACTTGGTCACAGGGTTAAATGCCTTAAGGGGTCGGCCAAGTTCGAAACTCAATTATTTTCATCAGAGTGTTTTAATCCACAAGGTCTTTTTTTATCAGGGTGTATTACGCCAACAATGTCCTGTTAATCAGAATGTATTACGCCCACAGTGTCCTTTTTATCAGAGTAATTAAACCAACAATGTCCTTTTTATCAGAGTGTATTACGCCCACAATGTCCTTTTTATCAGAGTGTATTACGCCGACTATGTCCTTTTTATCAGAGTTAATTTTGACAACAATGTCCTTTTTATCAGAGTTAATTTTGACAACAATGTCCTTTTTATCAGAGTTAATTTTGACAACAATGTCCTTTTTATCAGAGTTTATTACGACGACAATGTCCTTTTTATCAGAGTGTATTACGCCAAAAATGTCCTTTGTATCAGAGTGAATTATGCCAATAATGTCGTTAATATCAGAGTGTATTACGCCCACAGTGTCCAATGTTTTTTCCGAGTGTATTACGCCCACAATGTCCTTTTTATCAGAGTGTATAAACCCGACAATGTCCTTTTTATCAGAATGTGTTACGCCCAAAAGGTCTTTCTTAATAGAGTGTATTACGCCAACAATGTCCTTTTTATCAGAGTGAATTACACCCACAATGTCATTTTTATCAGAGTGTATTACGCCGACAATGTCCCTTTTATCAGAGTGTATTACGCCCAAAATGTCATTTTTATCAGAGTGTATTACACTCACAATGTCATTTTTATCAGAGTGTATTACGCCGACAATGTCCCTTTTATCAGAGTGTATTACGCCCAAAATGTCATTTTTATCAGAGTGTATTACACTCACAATGTCATTTTTATCAGAGTGTATTACGCCGACAATGTCCCTTTTATCAGAGTGTATTACGCCCAAAATGTCATTTTTATCAGAGTGTATTACACTCACAATGTCATTTTTATCAGAGTGTATTACGCCGACAATGTCCCTTTTATCAGAGTGTATTACGCCCAAAATGTCATTTTTATCAGAGTGTATTACACTCACAATGTCATTTTTATCAGAGTGTATTACGCCGACAATGTCCCTTTTATCAGAGTGTATTAC